AAACAACAACTTCCATTGTATCAACCTACACTTTATGCTTAACACATAGGTCACACAATTACTTTTGTTCTCTAGTATTAGATGCTAAAGGCAAGTGTTTAAGTGTAGAAGTGATTCTACAGTCACAGAAGAAAATTTTCTAGGAAAGGTATGTGGCTGAGAAAGGATTCTGTAAAAACCCAAAGCAACCAATTTTCCACTTTTCAAATGTAACCGATTTAAGCAAAATAATAGATACAGTTGCACGCTAATATGGAGCAGAGGAATACAGCTTCCTCTGCTTTATTTTGTCTCACTTGGCAAATGCTACATGTAAAACAATTATCTGCTAGTGGTAAGACTATAACAGAAGGTTCTGCAAGAAAACATTGAATTCTATATATACTAAAGCAACAATATTTGCAGATGTAATAACCATATCCACATGGAATTTAATTCCTTCCTTTACTTGTCCATAATGCTGATATTTATTTGTACAGAATAAATTGTCTTTCTGTAAGCAATAAAATAAATGGACACATATCAAACCCTGATATGTCAACCTTCAGAAACCATTTCAATCTACTATATCTTGGAATGACCTCAAACTACCATAAATAAATAATCTTTCAAGGAAGACTTTGGGGAAACTAGAATTTATCAAAAACTTTATTCTATTCATTTTAGATTTTTCCTCACCACATCATACTGTAAGTTATATTTTAAAAATATGATATTGTGAAGACGTATCTCTATTTTTACCATGTAGATATTTGGGTTCTATAATTAGGAAGAAATTTATTTGACTATCTAATGAAGTGGGCTCTTAGTTATCTCCCAATAAATAGTTAATCTTTAAGTTGCCATAACACTCTTTGCTGGTTTTGAAACACAACTACCCCTGTGGAATTTGTTACCTTGCTGTAGCCATCTGCCAGCTCACAGTTCTCCAATTACTTTTTGAGAATGCCATCTGGAATTGTCAAAGGCCTTGCCAAAGTCACATTATATATACTGCATTCCCCTTATCCATCAAACCAATTACCCTGTCAAGGAAGGGAATGAGATATGGTTAGTGATATTTCCTGTTCCACTTTCTGAAGGAATGGGAAATTGAGAGCAGCCTTTAAAGGTGAAGAAGCAGTGAAATAATAATAACCCTAAACTTTTACAAATGTATAGGTTGGGCATTTTTTCCCAATATCCTGTAAAAACTAATCCAAGCAATACAGCTATATAGACATAAGCATACATCTTTTTATTTAATTAAAATGCTTCTGCTATTTTCTGTCTTTACCCAAATGTTGTGCCTATCACTTTAAGAATGATTACATGGCAAAGTCTTCCACTATCTGGTGCCGTCTAGGTATGTTAGACTACAAGGCCCAGAATTTTTGCACAGAACATCTAACTAAAGAAGACTGGTACCGCATATCCCATGAAAGTTCATTTTCTAGACATTCATGTATAGCACTTCAGATTTAGTCAAAAAGGTTTTTTGATATGCACAGAATTACTCACATGGGACCTGTTTACAATTCCGTAAAGCAGCTGCATCTTTTCCCATGTGTTTGGTTTAAGAGGTTCCAAATATATGCTCTGTGCACATCCCACTTCCCTTCTAATCTGAAGCACTGCACAACTTGCAATTTTCATTATAGCTATGATCCAAACAAGGGAGCAGAGGGAAGGGAACATTTCCATAGATATGTTGATCTTCCTATAATAAAAACCCTTGGTGTTTAGGGAGCATGGGGAAGAAAGCCAACTTAACACTAACTGCAAAGGAGAGAATTTAAAAAGTTTTTTATTTTGAAAAGGTAGGTTTGTCATGACTGAATTTGTGAAGAAGGACTTCTGGCCTGGTGCCTTCCTGGCCATGCCCAAACAAAACACTAACACTCTTGGAACTCTCTTTCTAAGCTTCTGGAACAAATGATTCTTGACTCCATCCAATATTCTGGAAACAATGATGATGGTGAATAATGAAGATTATTTACTGCCTTTTGGTCTGTACAAAGTTAAATTAATTTTAGGTTCTGTTTCATGTAAAGTGAACACAGGAAACTTTTATCTGAGCCATTTCTTGCCAGGTGCTATTAAAATCTCCATTATTTCTTAGATATAATTTTGATAGCCTTGGGATTTGTTACCAAATAAAATAATTAGTGTTGCATTTACATATTTTCTTTCTTTAAAATTTTATTTTTTTTCTATACTTTCTTCAGATTTTACTGCTGTCTCTTGAGCTCTGCAATATGACTGTCATAATTCTGAAGTACTTTAAACATTACTATCACCACTGCAGGATGTAGTTTACCAGAGAAGCTCTGCTGATTTAGGATATATATCAAAGATCATTTACCCTACATCAGTTGCTCCCTAATACATTTTATGAATTGTTTTTCATTTACAGATGAATCCATTAGAATAGTAAATGGACTATCTCTAAATAAATTATTGTGGATAGAGTGGAAATTAGAATTTATATTAGTGATTAATAATGCAGTCCTCAAAGGCATCAGCATCAAATTCCACTGATTCCAAAATGATGAT